CAAAAGTAGGGCGAGAAGTTTCAATCAGCGTATCATGGTCAAAGACTTTCCGTTAAGACATAGTATTTTAATTTAGGTGCCCTAGCTTCTTCTAGCCAGCGAAATTTAACATAATTTCCAGTCACAATGCCTAATTTTCTTTGTAACCGTACTGTCTCTTTCAACACGACAACAAAATTCAAGATCATTAATAAATGTACTGCTGGAGGGGGGGAGAATGTAAGCATCAATTTAATAAACTCTCATTTATAACAAATAGAACTTAAAATATATGATTCAGTTTGCAAGGTGAAAAGAGCCCTAAACGTGGAGTCTCACACGGTAGATTTACTTTCAAAAATAAATTAAACATCTTATTTCCAGAAATCAGATATCAGGGCACTGCAGGACATGGCCGACTAGGGCTGTTGCACCACTAAATTTTTGTTTAGTTTTTATTTCCTAAAAAAGCCTCTGTTATTATCCTTGATGAAAATTAGACCAGTAACATTTTAATATAATAGTAGTTAATCAATTTCAATTCCAGATTTCCATATATTCTACTATACTATACAGTCAAATTTCCCTTCCTAGGGATTCAATTATTCCAAGGAATTTATTAGATTAGATGTTTTTCGATACAGATATTACAAAGGATAATTTCTTGATCCAGACCTTTACTACTACATATTATTCTAATCTTATATTACGCAGAAAGGAAGCAATTGCTTTCATACAGAGATTTTTCCAAATCAAATAAATGTTTAAGACTAAATTTAAGAATTAAAAAAAAGGAACTAGTTTCATTTAAACTTTTAAATTTGCAATTAAGTTTTTGGACGAAAAGTAAATATTGAGTTGTTATAAATGAGACAGTTACCACAAAAACTGCCATTAAACTTCAAAGCGAGAATATATACATATGTAAAAGTTTTCAGCAGAAATTAACTATAAATTATAGATACAATCTATATATGATTATCTAAGAAACGAAATGTAGATACTAATGTAATGGGAGATTATATATATATACATTGATAAAATAATATATGTATCAAAGTGATAAAAAAAGAAATATAGAAAGTACTTCTAAAGCTTGCATTAAGTTGCTATGATTAATAATATATTAGAAGCCAAACATAGTTAAAAGATTAATATTAAATAATGAGGAAGACTCTATGATTTAACATTAACTTTATTAGTTTATTACATTTGGCAATTAATATGTATATAAATGTGCATATGCAGATCCGCACGCGTATGTGCGTAAAAAAAAGGGACATGAATTTATAGATGTATGCACATTAAAGAACAAGTTACAAGAACATTAAAACATTTATTTAAGTGAAAATTCATAATACTAATAATAATAATAATAATAATAATAATGAAAAGTTTTCAAAATAAGGGAAGAAATTATGGCTTAAGAAGTTTCCGCTTAAACGCATTCAGCTTGGTAAAAATGCACACCCTTCTGGCAAATGCTTCCCCAAAACTTATTTTTCTGTTTTTTTCTTTCTCCCTTCTGATAAGTCGTTACCTTATTTTAGTTTAATAGCTGTATATGTTTATCATAGTTTAACATAAATTTCGTAGCTCAGACATAACAAATAATATTACGAAAATCTGTAACTCCATACTTATCTTGTACTTAGATAAAAGCTGGAGATAAAAATGCAAGAGAAAAATAGCTGAAAATGCAGAGCATGCGAATAATTATTGTCATTTTTGTAGATAATCGCAGAGACAGTGACAAGAACTGCGATTGGTTCATAAATGTTTTGGTGCCCAAGATGAATGGTTCTTTGGTTGGCCTGTTATAACAGGGGACAACCCTGCCCCAAGGAAAATGCCGTCCTCAGGCAGGCGATATAAAGTAAAATAATACTGCTGCATCTTTCTTTTACTCTTAGGATATTTTATTTTCAACAGGCTTGAGGAGGATTTCTCTACTACAGTTAAACTTCCGTTACAAGAAATTAAGATTTTCAAAACTACGAAACGTTCCATTCTAAAAACATCAATTCGGTTGTACTTTGAATTAATTCAGTTAAATAAAATCTGAAACTACAGCGGAAGTGTAAGACGACTTTATAATTTAATAAGAATATTTTAGCTCATTTTTCGGAGGGGGGTCGGAGTTTGGCATTAAATTTTGTGAAATAGCTTGCAAAAATCAATTTAAAAATCATATCCCGAAAAAAGTTATTTCTGTTAAAGGTTTTCGCTATGATTTCACGTTAATTTAGCAATTAAGAGTATTCATTAAATTGTTTATAATATCCAGTTATGCGGGGAAAAGTGTTCTTGAAAATAAAGTCATTCAGAAATTATTGTAAGTGCGGTACCATTTGCGCGATACTTTTAATTTTTCCTTTGCTGAGTGCTCCCTTACTAGTATAAGATAGTTAAGATATATTTACTGCATTAAACAGCAAGTTAAATGGCTGCACTTTCTAAAAAGGCTGCACAAAAAGAATCTTTTTAGAAAGAGTATTTGTTCATATTTAACTATAAATTTACATATGAAGCATCATAGCATGGTATTACAGTGACAAAAACACACATGTCTATCAATTATTATTCGCAGAAAATTAAGTTACGAAAACTGTTCCAATTTTCCATCCCGTAGAACGCTCCTGAATTTAGTATGGCCATAAGAACTCATAAGTATTCTGTTTTATTATGATTATTATACCAAGAATTCCTTAAAATAATTTGGAATTTATAAAGACGTTTCAGATAAATATATATAGAGAGAGACAGAGCGTTTTTAGTTTTTAATAATATCTAGAGTTGTAGGGTATTATATTTATTTTTGAATAACCAATTTAGTTTGAGTTGTACTCTCTTTCCTATAAGGCTTCATTCCCCTAACTGTCAATGCCAGAATATTTAAATTTGGTAGCGCACGTGAAGTAATGCAAATTCTACCTTTTGATGAGAAAAGGTTTAAATACTAAGGTTTCTAGAAGGGAAAGTTAGAGAGTGTAGGCAAGCGATGTACTTTTGTAGCGTGAGCTTCTGTTTCTGCATATATTGCTCGTTAACGTGACGTAACAGCTTTTACTTTGCTGCCACTAGATTTCGAAGCGGTTTTGAGATAACATGATTATCTGAGACCTGTAGAGTAATTCAACTGCTTGTTATTATCTTCAAATTCTTAGTTTAGTTCTTGTTATTTGAGTTACCGCTCGAGCGAGGTGTAGTTTGTTAGCTTCAAGTCGACGCATTGTGAGTTTTAAAGAGTTTATAATAAAGGGTTCTTTTTTACCCTTCTGTGCCGTTCCTACACGTACTTCAGTTGTCTCATCAGAAGATAAACAAGTAGATATTACAAGGTAATGGAATTATAATTCGAAAAATAAATTAAATATCTTAAATCATAACGAATAGGAACACTATAAATATATCTCATATGATAAATGGCATGGCAGGGTAGCAAATGTAACCTAATATAAACGATTCAAAATTGCGGACTTCGATTTATGCAATTCTCAATAGTCAATAGGGCTCTTTAACATAAAAATGGCAATAGCTGATATACATTGAATGCTCGCGTTTGTGAGTTTATAGAGAACAGAATGAGTTAAATCAAAAGGTATCCAAAAATAAGCTGTTAAACAAGTTCTAGAGAAATATGCTAAAGGCTGCATCACAAGAGCATGAAAGTAATGCTTTCATTTCAAACAAATTTATTTGTTGATTTGTGTTTAAAATATATTTGCTTTTTAGAAAAGTTATTTGGTGATATGATTCACTTACTGTTGTGAAGTATTAGTTAACGACAGTTATTTCCCATTGAAGACGGTTTGATATTAATATATTAATCAATTAACCAGTTTTCTGTTCATATAAGCTTATGATTTTATTTTCTAGGTTAAAAAAATCGCTATGTTTGGGAATGAAACCTTCATTGGCATTCAACTAACTACGCAATAAGTGAAGAAGATAATAATTTTTTCAAGCTCTCAAGAATCATAAGAAACATGTACTTTGAATTCAAAACAGCAGCTGTCGCAGGAGTGCTGTTCGGTATGTGTAGTAATCAGAAAGTGAAATATAAATGATGCGTTTAATGGAGTAGAAAAGAGTTTTATAATTAACTTGAATTTTCATCAGACGGTGTTCAGGAGTAATTAACTTTTCATCTAGTTACTTTGCATTGACAATCTGGTTACTCATAATGTTATTGTAATATGTTCAAAGAACAAGAAAAGAAAATGAAGGGCAGCCTTTTTTGAATTACATCAGTACTCTTGAGCAACGGGAAAATGATCAATCATCTCACTGATACATTCCCGCACTCTGTAGCTCTGAAATGAACCTAGCAACTACCCAGAACAAATGTAATTCATCTTTTAAGCTATTCATCTATCTTATACCGTCCTCTGCGGCACCCAGTCATTAGAAGACGAAGGGAGAAGGGGGGAGGACAGAGTAACGCCCTTCGTGTACCACGTGACCTGTCAGAATTCTGGCCAATGAGAACTCACAAGTTTTGGCGCATTTTCATGTCAGGGAAAAATCAAATGATGTGTAGGGATTTCTTTCCTAGGTCATCGGTTCAAGGGTGTAACGTGTTACTTGAAGGTGGCCTATCACTCCCGGTACTTCTAAATACGTGTAATCGTTAACCACAGTCGCTGTTCTTCTATATCATTCTGAAATCACACGACAATCGCGCAATTACTATAGAGCTTGGGTTAAATAGAGCATAAGATCAAAATGAAGTAAAGGTGGGCCACTCACAAAACTTTAGGTTGAGGTTTAATGTTTTGACAGAATGAAACATTTACATCAAATTTATTAAAGGGAAGAATGAATAAGCTTTCGAGAGATTTATTTATGCTTTTGATGCCTGCTAACCTTCCACGAACGTGTGACTAAATTGGTTACACGCACATAAATCAAATGTATGCAATGGGAAAATGAAAATTCAGACTACTACATTTCTTTGCATTGAAAATTAATAAAAGAATAAAATGATTAACAGATTTTCAAAAGATTTTAAAACTTACTTCGTGACATTATCTTCGAGGCACTGGCATTTCCATTATCATCAACGATGCATTCCCATGTCTAACAACGAGTAGCAGTTCTAAATGCCGTCGATACTAAACGATTTCTTCCTGTTAAGATATGTATAGAGAGAGCTAGATAGATAAATATAGATAGATTGCTAAATATATAGTTAGATAAACATAGATAGATAGATATAAATATTAGTAAATTGTTGAGTCATTTGGTTTGCTGGAGTAGGAAAAATAGGCAATATCCTCACCGAGATTCGAACTCCGGACTTCCCTATTTGGGGGCCAGTCAGTTATGCTTCCAGTCGTTCTTTATGTGGGGGAGAATGTAATGTATTTTCTCCCTTCTTAGTGTGTGCTTTCGTGATATAATTAGCTATTTCCAAATAAGTACGAAGTCAAGGGGATACTTAGTGGTGGAATAAAAAGGGAAAAAAATAAGTTCTCCCTCACTTAAAGTGCGCCTGGGCAGGAAGGTACCTAGTCGCCAAATCGAGGTGGTGATGAGTAATAGCTCACCATATTTTAATTCTGGCGTGGCTGTGCAGCAGTTAGAATTCTTCACAGCCCGATAACCGAAGAAATCCGCGACGCTTTTGCGAGTCTCTCCATTGCCAGTCGGACGTACTTCCAACTACATACGAAACCACGCAGTAAGAAGAATGAAAATACTTTAAAATATTCGCATATTATTAAGCTAGAGAACTAACTAAAAGCAATATCCAATAACAATAATTACCTTTCTATGGCTACAAATGATTTTATTTATGCATTTAATTTTTTTTTTTTTTTTTTTTTTTTTTTTTTTTTTTTTTTTCCCCTAATGGTCCTAATGGTCTATGAAAGAGTTGAAGAGCATAACACGGCCAATCACACTTCACTTCACAATTTTAAAGCATTAGATATTTCACGGATTTTTAGTTTCAGCTAAGTATAAATTCAAATAATTAGCTTTAGACATCTCATAGCAATTTTACTCGTATTTCTTGTTAATTAACATTTTTAGCATTGAATGAATTTTAGAATGCTGCTGAAATAAAATGCATTCGGTTTCCCCATTGCACACAGATATATGATTTGCGCTGGGAGGAAGAAAATGAAATAAATGATGCATTTGATTTGGTAGAGAAATTTGAAGAAATAATCCTTTAAGTGATGGCAAGCACATCCAAGATTTTTCCGAATCAAGATTTAAACCGTTTTATTTAAATTTCTTGTTTATTTGGTCATTTTACGAAAAATTAAATTAATAGTTGGTTACACCAATGAAATTTATGCGCAGTTCAGTTCTTAATAAAATTTACTGTATTTAAAAATATATAAAATGCCTGCTAACTTATCCCTGTTAAATTCGTAAAACAGAAATTATATGGCAAATGTCATTTCACAAACGAATTAGAGGAAGAGGGGAAGCCAGTATTTTCACATATATCGACTGCTTACATAAGTTCGCATTTATCACTCTATAAACTACAGTAGTTATCGAAGAACACATGAAGAAATAATCCTGTTTCTTTATTGACTATCGTTTAGTGAATGGTGCGTCTTCCCCCCCACCCCAAGGAAAGAACATATTTTGCATAAATATTATCTTACGATTATTAATAACAATTGTGTAATATGCTGTTCATAGCTTCATAATATTTCATGCCTTTCAAGCTCAAAATTTAACCGCTCAGTTTTGAAAACTGCTATCGTTTAAGTTTCATATGTTTGTGATACAAAGATAGTTAAGAAGAAATAATTTCATTATATTTTCTCTATTCATCAAAATCATTCCCTAGGATAAGCAAAGTTCAGAAAAGTTAACTTTTTTAATTCCTTTAACTCCTTCTGTCAAAATACAATTTTTAAAGTCGTTTTAAGTAATTTTGTTTTTGCAATTAAAGTGTTTTTCATTATTATTCTTTTAAGATATATGTAGATATTGTTAAATATAAAATTTATAAGAAGCTTATAAAATTAATACTGAAGTAAAATATTAGGTAAATGAAAAATCTTCAAAGTGTGTTCTTTTAATTATAAATATCCCAACTTAACTAGAGATATCCAATTTCAATTGAGAGAGTGTAAAAACACAACTCTGAATTCTCTCAAACACAATAATACATGCTCCAACTTAGTATTATTTATTATAAACTTTCAACTTAACACAAAACACATTTGAGTGCTGGAGAGTTGGAATATCTATAACAAATATTAAAAAAACGTTCTTATACTATTACAACCGTTTTTTATACTCCCTTTTTCATTTTATACATTTTATGCTTCAGCCGTAGATTAAAAAGAATAAATAAATAAAACTTTATACTATAAAGCGATGCTTGTTAAAGTTATTGTTAAGGTTTGAGCTAATGATATACTGATCATTGATCATTAATTTCCCACATATCATAACTTTTTCAAAATTAATTCACGCAATGCGCCGTATTATAATCGAAATTAATACTAAGTTTGTTTCTGATTTTCAAAATGCTAAACAAACAAATTCGAAATCCTAAATATTAGCCAATAACAATCTTCAGATTTCTCTAGCGCATTTCTACAAAATTACACTTGTACTCTTTTCTCGATTAGCTCCCAGAGAGGAGAATGTTTGGGAAACAGACGATACACATTTGAATATCCATTTTATTCGAAACCGTTTTTATTGTTAGAGCGTTTCTCAATTCACAGAACGTTATATTTTCATTATTTGTGCCTCAATATCTTTACTTTTATAAATGAAAAAATTTAAACAACCCAGTACTAAGGAGTAAATTTGTACAATAAATTACTGTTAGAAAGTTAAAATTTTGCTGTTTGTAATTAGATTTTGTTAATAGTAGAATGCTTAATGCATGCGTTGCACGCCAAAATCTATTTGCAACGTTTAACAATGAAACATGCGGCTAACATAACTCGCAAAGCGTAGAACTTCGTTAAACAGTTTTAGTAAAGGGGCTTTGGCATGACGCCAGTAATTTTCCTTTCCACATAACTGGTCTCACGATTTGAATAAAGGGAAGATGGATCAGGAAAACCCGAACTTGAGAGGGAAAATTAACCAGAAAGACGTTCACTACCTATTAATATTCGTTTCCTCTCTTCGCCGATAAGCGCCTTCAAACTTTACCGCATGCGGAGTCTTACAGATAATGTTGATAAACTTCGCAAGTGCTGATACTGTGCAAAAGCTCGCTTCTTGAATTTTGAAATGAGTTAAAGTTTCAAAGCAGAAATTTTGCATTTTGGTAACTGAATTTAATTAACTCAAAGAGAATACCAGTAAAGTTTTGGAATTCGAACTATGTGAAACAAAATGAATAAAAAATACTAAAATGAAACTTTAAATTTGAATCCGGGAAGATGAAAGTTAATAAAATTTTAGATCTTAAGGAAAATTTGTTAAATATATTTTCAGCAGTAAACTGAAAATTACTCTATCCTACCTCAGCTACAATGTACAGTAAACATCATACCTACCGGTGACATAACAATTATAACAAAATTCAGGAACTTGTATAAAATAGGTAACTCCATTCGGCATAATAAAAAAGTCATGTCAAGATATCAAAAGAAAAGCACTTGGCAAGCATAAATTTTCGACAGATTTTATCAAAAGCAAGAACGGAAGATATTTACTCTGCTAATTCAGTACGTATTAATTATGGCTTGGTTGATGATGGGCTCTCAGGGTCGAGGAAAGGATATTTGAATTTTTAATCTGCAAAATTGCCCAGTTTATACAACTTAAAAATTACGCCAAACAAAGGAGATCATCAGAACCATTCAATAAGACTTGCTCTATGCTAGCTAAATAATTTAAACTTAATCAATATTTTGTGATAAATTATGCACTGAACGTTAGTTGCGTATTAAATATTAACAACTTTTTGTTAAAATTTAATAGAGGTAAGTAGCGCTTTAACACTAGTATTAAGTATACTAGTATTAGTACTAGTATTAAGTACTTTAATAGAGGTTTAACTATTTTAATTTAGAACATGAGACAATTTTGATACGTAATACACGAGGGGAGAAAAATCCCCCCTCCCTCGTCAGTGATTGCCAATAAGAGATATTGTATACTTATGTGGTATCATTAGATACTGATTTGTTTGACACTAATGGGAAAAAAATAAAAGTATTTTTTATAAAATAAGCTTTTATTCAAACCCGTTAAAACAAATAATGTTCCATAAAGAGAAAAGTAGTTTATCATATAATTTAATGGAAACAAGAGATTACTTTGTTTGATATGAATGTGAAAAAGAATTTGTGATCATTTAGTGGATTAAGAACCAAATTCTTATTTTGTACAATTTTACACAACAGTTAGGAAAGCAGTTTAGGAAGCTTAAAAGATCAAATAATAAAATTTTGTTTTCTCACAGAAATTTATCGCAGACATGTTACTACATTCGTAACCACTGTAAATAAGTATTCAGATGTATTTAAAAATATTCTGAATGCATTTAAGTGACACAAATTTATTTAGCTGTGCTTGGGAATAAGAAATAAATACTATTATTTTCTTCAACCGCTTTAAGAAATTTTCAAAAGGGGGAGAAAAAAGTAGAATAGAAGAATTTTTGGTGCGTTAAGCGTGATCTCTGATCGCGTGAAATATCTTAAACGCATGCGAAGAATAATTTTTTTAAAGAAAATATGAGACTCTAGGACAAAAAGAAAAATAAATGGTGGATGGCAGCCTTCATTTTTCACTCCATTTTTACGCTCCGGGCATTTTTCAAAATGCATTTTTCTTTTTCGCTCTCCTTGTTCACTCGCATCCCGAAGATCTTGTTCTTTTGCAACATCTATTTCCATCTTTCCTAGATTTAAAAGTGGTAAGCGTCGCAAAGATGCAGCAAGATCAAAGTTCGACACAAACTTAGATGTTTCTCGTCATTTATTTCCCTCCTGCAGGGATTTGGTACCAATTTCAGAGATTTATTTCAAAGTAATAGAATAGAAATAGTTCTTTCCCCTTTCTATATGGAGCCTTAGATAAGACAGGACAAAAATCGAGGCAATAAGCGATTATGAATCATTTAAAAAATTACTATTAATGAACTAAAATCTGGTAACTATGCATTTTAATAGAAAACGTGTTGCGCCATAATATTATACCATTTGTGATTAACAAGTTCTCATCTAAAAATTTTTGAGAGCTGAGTCCAATTTAAAAAGACGGCTA